ATTTCCACCAGTGTCGATGCAGCATACGTCGCTGCCCTGATGCCTTCTGCGCACGTGTCTGTATACGTCCGACCTCCATCTCGAGCGAAATTCGCAAAACGGACATTTGAAGCGAGGACTTTGTTGGCACTCGTAACGCAGATGCCTGGTTAAAGAACCACGATGGGTAAACGAGCTTCCGCAGGCGTTCGAGCAGCTGAACCTTTTATTTGCGGCGTAGAATCGTTGGGCGGTCGAATCGCGCTGACTCTGACTCCCGGGAACGCGAGCGAAACGCGCGACGACGCCTGCAAAAGAAGATCAACTACTGAACGTAACACAATATCATCGAGCAACGCTGAAAGCAGTTTTCGTTAGAATCGTCGTAACGATGACAGGAGAAAGGAAACGAAACGTTTGGATAGAAGAACGCGCGGCTAGAAAGTACGGTCAATCTTGTCCGAGCGTCGCTGCGACACTTAGACGGAGAGCTGGGTGAAGTCGCCCGCGACTGCTCCACATTTGTAAAGCGTGACACAAAAGATCGAGAGGATCGATATCTATCGTGGAGTAAATGTACTCGACCTTCTTCGCGGGCTTTCGCGCCGCGCCTTACAAGCGTGGGATGAAGGCCTAACGCCATTAGGGGGGGGGGTGACAATGAAACTTAGAAAGGGTTGACTGTGCTCGGGACGTGGTAGAAAACTAAAGGTTTACAATAACAGCGAATGTAGAATCGCTGCGATGAATGGACCTCTTTATTTACAGTCTTAAATGCGAGTACAATTTGTGAAAGACGACGCTTGTACATAGCTCCTGGACTATCGAACTCGAGCGAAACGCGTGTGTCTGGTTCGACTTTGAATAATGCACGAAACCGATGGTATTCGATCGTCTCGCAAAACAAAAATTTGTGCCAAAAATATGCGTCGATTTACAAGCCCGTAATACTGTTCAAACAAAGTTTAGAAAGGATCGTGCTCAATGTTATCGACTAAATCCGTGAAACAAAAAGTTGAGAAATCCGATGAAATATAAAATGTTATGACTATACCCAATGCTTTGACACTTAAATTAAAGATTTTTCAAAAAGTGGAATTAATCGATTTGTGCATTGAACGGGGTCGTTCGAGACAGCGTTACGATACAGTGGAAGAGTCTCCAGGGGTATTAAGTGCGCTCCTGATGGGCGATCTTGAGGACATCGATCGCGTAGACCTTGCAGTTCTTGTGCCTTCTTCTGACGTGTTCGTAGACGTTGGCAGACTTCTTGCATCGATAGTCGCAGTGCGGGCACTTGAACCGTGGCTCCTGGCCGCACTCGTAGGTCAGGTGTCGGTTCAACGAGTACTTCTGGCTGTAGGCACAAGCGCAGTTGGGACACGGGAACTTCTTCGTCCTAAAGTTATTGTCAAAGTTAGGGAGTGGCGTTTGGGGCCAGATTTTGCCGATAGTTTGGACTTGGCTGCCTCCGATACCGATGTTGAACCCGAACACGGTGAACGGGGCCGTATCTGGAACGAAACGGGTCTGGCTGATTGTCAGTTTACATTGACGGTGTTCTCGACAACGATCTACGAGTCCCAATCGAATCCACATGTTCCCCGAAAGACGACGTTACGTGTACTAATTATCGAGACCTACCGAGCAAACATTGAACGAATAGTAACATTGGAGGAGAAAGAAGGAAAGATACAGGGACGAAATGTTTGTTTCGAGGACGCGCATAACATTGTCTGGAAGATACGTTTAGACAAATTTTCGTTGAGGAAACGTTTTATTGAAGAATCTCGAGTCTACGACGGGTAGCAATAGGACTGATACCGTTATAAAATATTATTTATTTTTTGTAGAAAACTGATGCTTTTACGTCGAATACTCGATTGTAAACCGATGTCTTATAAATGGAGCAGATATCGATAGGATGGTGAACAACGTATCTTACTTTTGATACTCGTACGATAGTATCGACGTCTGTCGATTTCGTTATAGCATTGCTCGAACATTCTTGTATACATACGTGTACCAGTCCTATCGCTAACGACAGGTATAAAAATTCGTAGTGTTCATTAAAGAAACGTTAAGTATTAAAAATATTTCCCAAGATACATGCCAGATAAATTAAAAATCTTACAACCACTCACACTTTTTACAATTCTCGCTACTTTGCCCGTTACACACTTTTACACATCGAGAAACGAAAGTTCCTCCAACGTACCACGTTCGTTGATAGTTGGATGCCGGCTTCTGACAACCATCGTTTGATACGAATAACAAAGCAGCTCTCGTGGTTGATACTAATCGAGGTTTCCATATCCTTTGAATAAGATACTCCGACGTTTCGTCGAGGTTCGTTCAATCGCTGAAGAAGCTAGCTGCAGCGCTGGCGACACGTCAAGATATTTTATCCAAAGAATACACCAGTAAGTCCTCGATTAGATGCTCGAAGACCACGAAGTGTCGTGTCGCGAAAGGCTGAAATATATTAAAACAGCTTTCGTCGTAAACTGACCAAGGTTCAGCGATGATTCACCGAACCATCTTCTCGTTCACGTCTACGATATCCACTGCTGTTGACTCTCTTGTTTGCCGCGCACGTCGAGAACGTACACCCTCAGACCAGGATGCATCCTACGCACGTGGGATCTGACGTTCGAGGAGTGCCTCGTGCGATACGAGCAGTAAGGACAGTTGAACCTCGGCAACTGTCCGCACTGGAACTTCAGGTGATTGTACAGATTGTTCTTACGCGTGAAAGCGTTACCGCACTTGTGACACGGATAACTTCTGTTTTGCTCGTTTCGAATGAGATCGTAGGCGCAATGAGGACCCTGCGCGTAACAAGACGGACGTATTACCGGATGGTGAACACCTGCGAACAGAAAAAGCCACCAAAAATGACTTCTGACGATGATTCGATGCCACCGATTTACGATTTAGCGATTCGACAGATGTGAAACTTACAAACTTTAATTGTCTTTTGCCTCGTGTTGCTCCCTAACGGTTGCAACGCGATACAGAAATCGGTACAAGGACTCCGAGCTATCCTAAAAAACGTATGCGAAACCCATTTCCGACATTAGCTGAACGTGGAAAAACATTGCGTCGTGGAGGCAAGAGGGGAAAGCGACGTAGACATTGCGAATACCGTAATCCCAGGGTGAATCGAACGAAATCAGTCGTGGTTTTGTTCCAGGAATTGGAGTTCCACTATAGTTCGAATTACAAGTGTTCGTTTTGGATATCCAGGGATTACCGTGCTCTATGCGCAGGTGCATAAAATGTGTCTTTTTCCTTTTTCCTTGTTTCTTTTTTGTTCTTACAAGCTAAAAGCATCGTCGCCCGATGGTATAATACATACAACAGCCTGTAAAAAATATTCCCGCGACTAGACACGAAACGGATCGAAGATATCGCGAAATTCGGAACAACTCGCGTCGTTGACGAGTACACGGTTCGCATCGCCTAGCAACGGTCCAGGTCGAGGGTCAGATCGATTAGGAGTGCTGGGGAACTTCGATCTTGCTTATGTCCACGACGTAGACCGCGTTGCCAGGGTGAGTCCTGCGCACGTGGGCTCGCACGTCCCACGGATGCCTCGTTCTGTAGACGCAATAAGGACAATTAAATCTTGGCGACGGTCCGCACTCGTACTGCAAATGATACTCGAGGTTGCTTTTCCGGTTAAACACGCTGTGACAATTCCCACATGGAAATTTTTGCGCGTGATGGACGTCCGTGGGCGAATACGTCCTTCCCCTGGGCGAGTAAGGCCAACAGACGTTCGTGTCCAGCTGATGCGGCGCTAAGTACATCGGCTCTGAAAAAAGCACAATTCGTTCGTTCATTCCGAGTGTTCCGAGCATTATCGGATCGTTATGAGACCTAAGCAACGCCCACGGTTACGTGGATAATCTACGAAATGCGATATTCGCTGTATGACAATGATTTTCGTACGATTCGATCGCGTACCTTGGTATCTCGGTTGGCTTAGAATGATCGCTATGCGGGGTGGTTCGCGCAACTTCGACGAGCCGTGTCGATGAAACCATTCGAGATACGAAAAGAGAATTTATAAGAGAAAATCGAACGGTCTCGGATGTTTCCTCGACGTAGTTTTGTATGCTTTACGAGAAAGTGTTTAGAGCGTCCAAAGAGCTGCTGGTTGGAAGGATATTCAACTTAGCGAAGGACTTACGGAAAGTTCTTATCTCAAAATAACAGCTTGCTGGACAAACTCCTCGATACTTTTTTTTTTTTTTTTCATAGAGAATAAAGCGTCACAGCGTCGGATGATACTTGAAAAATCAGAGGATTCCATTAAAGAGAAGGTGGATCGAAGCATCCAAAACCCAAGGACTAAAATTTTCTCTCGTTTCTCCTTTTCGATCCAAAGTATTCCAGGCGACACAGCTCGCTGCAATTTCGCGTGACACCCCGTATACTTTTCTCAGCATGTAGACCGGACCCTCGTGAACGATGATCACCAGCGATTATATGACTGTTCTTTGCTACAAGGGATAGTACGAAACGAATATTGCGAATGAGAGCATGCACGCAAAGCGTTTCAAAGGACGAATTCGGGAAGACCTTGTTCTTTTCTTTTTTTATTCAATGATCGTTTCGCTATAGTTACGGGACAATACATGGGGATCTCCTCGTTACTGCTGGCCGCTCATTATATCGATAACGTAGACTTCGAGATTGGGATGTTTCCGGCGCACGTGAGCTTTAACGTTGGACGTGTGTTTCGTCCTGTAAGGACAATAAGGGCAGTTGAATCGCGGCGATTGCCCACAGGCGTACTTCAAATGATGGAGCAGATTGTAGCGCCAGTTGAACGAGCCACCGCACTTCGGGCAAATGTGTTTGACGATATCTTGAGGATGACGATCCGTAGCGCGGCGCGCTTGATTCCTGCCGTAACCGTACATCTGATTCAGTAGCTTCCCTGGAAAATTCAGACGTTCTTACGGTTAATTCTCTCAGTTCGTGCACCGACGTGCTTAACTGTTCAGTTCTAAACATCGACAGTGCTGTTTAAAGCGATACCGTTTTCATTACGCCAGCAAAACTCTTCTCGAGACGCCCGCGTTTCTCGATCGTTCTGCGGGTGAATGGAATTAACCCAGATAAGGCTGAACGTTCTTTGCGACGCAGTCTAATCGATCAAAAGCTATGAGATATCGGCATCGTTCCTAAACCGGGCCTTCCGTACATTTAGAAGGACGTCAGCCGTAACTGGGTTACGGGATCTCTTACAAAACAACGCAGTTTTTCTACAAACAAACTGGTCAAGTCTAGTGATAAGAACTTGGCGTGCACGCGCAAATATACTTGTTTTCGTACTTTCCACGTTTATTGCGAGATCTTGGGTACAAAGGAAGAGTGTCACTTATTATTCTTATGCGTCGAAGGTACCTCGCTACCGCATACACGATACCTGGTCTTCTTATCAAAGTACAAAAAAAGAAAAATGAAACACTCCTATCCAGTTTTCTATGTCCTCTCGAACGTTACGTTAAGTTCCTTTTTGTTTTAAATAAGTTGCAGTAAAGTCTTTCGAAAAATGCGAGCGTAGTATCGCGGATTAAGGGATTCGAGGGGAGAGGTAATCGTCGACAGTTAAGACAGATTAATCCCTTGATCGTCTGTTCTACGCCTCTTAGCGATTCATGAATCCAACCGTGGCGGCCGATTGCCACAGTCTTCGTTAACGAATACATTTTTGTATTTAAACTTGTCCTACGCGCGTTGGAGCAATTACAAATCTCGACGACGCTACCCTACACTGTACAATACAGAAGGAGAATTTCTAAGATTACACAGCGATACTCTAAGGATACATTCGATCAACTTATGGGTATACGTTGTCAGCCGTCGCCACGTCCGAAAGGACACGGGGTTACGCTAAGTGCGGACGCCATTTTCGGCGTACAACCATACAAATCGAGCGAGCTTTTCCTCGTTGAAGTTGAGAGAATCTCGACACCTATTCAACAGGATTATCCTTCCACCTTACAGACGTCGATAGCGTATACGTTGTTACCGGGATGTCTTCTGCGCACGTGTGCACGCACGTTAGACACGTGTCTCGTCCTGTGAGGACAGTAAGGGCAGCTGAATCGCGGTAATTGACCGCATTCGAACTTGGAGTGATAGTAGAGATTGTTCTTGTGACTGAAGACGCTCGGACACGTGGGACACGGGAACTTTTGCTTCTCGCCGTTACCGAGGAGTCCGGTTTTTTGATAACTCCGACGTCTTTTACCGATGGGCACCGTGCACGGATAATCTGACAGGGAGAACCCTGAAACAGAAACGAGACGAGAATTTCGTCAAACACTCGGTTTGCTCAACGAAGGCTTGGTTTCTGCTTGAATGTTTATCGTTTCATCGAGATAGTTGGAAACAACATGCCTTCGAACGTTCCAGCTGACCTTATCAGCGACTCCGGATCAATTCGTTCGTTCAAAGGGTTTACGTAAACGTGACAGGAGCAGAGGATGTCGGATGATCGGGTGCCGCGTGTTTGCGAATGGACGTAATTCACAAACCGTTGATTTTAACTTTGTATATTTAAAAAAGAGACAGATCTGTTCGATCCATATCCATTAAGTACAGAGTTTGTTCGTGTTCGTGGGTTCTGGAATTCGCGGAACTGTAACTTTGCAACATCTACTACCGGAAAATACAATGCAGGTCTAGGTAGCGTTAGTCGCGAACAATTGTACTATGAGTAAAACAGTTGCGAGTTCTGCGAGTTGCAGGAACAAAGGTGACATCGTTGACTCTACGCGTTTCGCGCGAACGCGTCCTGTCGTTCGCGCGTCACAGATATGCGCAAGGTCCGTCGCGATTCACGCGAAAACGTGTGGGTAGATGCGAAATGGATACGTTGTTTGGCACTGACAGTCTTCGGGGCAGCATTCAGCTAAGGTACGCGCGGGTCGGTTGCTCGCGAGACTTCCGTTCTATTTGATGATTCGTTCCATCGCAGCTTCCGTTGACGAAACGTAAACACTGGAGGAAGAAACATTGAACTCCTGAAAAGAAACAAAATCGCGTTCAACCCCGACTGCTCTGACTCTTCCTGGGTCGTTATCTTCCGTATGCACGCGAAGATAAGGAAAAGACGTCGAAAATAGGGGAAGATTGCTCGATCGTACCCTTGAACGATGCAAGACTCGAAGAAAATTTATCACTTTCCGTGACGCGTATGCGCCCCACGCTGAACTTTCCGTTCAAGCCATTAGGTATTGTATTTGTTAAATTAATACCTAGAAAAATTAATTTATTTTGCATTAGAAATTAATTTTTTAAACTGAAAGTCTTCAAAAAATGGTCTGGCAAGGAACGTGTTATTCGTGACAATAAACATATTTCAATAGCGCTCGACTCTGTATTCCGCGAGGTACGGTAGTGGTCAAATAAATGAAATCAAGTCGCACAAGGGTGGAAAGGTGAGGGTGATCGAACTAGACGACAGAAATAAGTTAGATACGATAACAAGGGAACGCTAAAAATTCTTATTATGTTATACACAGTGCAGAGGATGTCTTATTCGATCGAGTACCAACTGTACTAAATTCTCAGCACACGATTCGAGCAATTTTCCCCTAAGAGACGTCGGTCTCTACCGTTCTTCGCGACGACGACGTCGATTCTTCCGGAGAAGGTCCGCGACGTGGCTCGTTCGTTTTTCCGCTTGATCCCGTCGCGTTACTCGTCGACGTTTTCCAGCTGACGGTATTCTTCTTCGGAGACGAGACGCTTGTCGTCTTCGGGGTCGTCGGTTTCAAGCAGCGTACTGCTGCAGCTGACTTAGGTCGACGGTGTAGACCTCTCTTCCTGGATGACACTTGCGCACATGTCTACGCGCGTTCGAGATATGCCGCGCACGATAAGTGCAGTAAGGACAGTTGAACCGCGGCTTCTGGCCGCACTCGAACTTTTGATGATAGGTCAGGCCGCCTTTCCGACTGAAGACACTGGTGCAATTGGAGCAGGGAAACTTCCGCGGGAGCATTTGCGAGGTGTCGGAGAGGGGCACGATCGAGGGATTACTCGGCACCATATGCTGCTGAAGGAGAAAGTTCTGCGAGGGCGTCGGGACGCCGGTGAACACGCAGTATTTCAACCCTGGAACAGAAACAGAAACGCGACACCGCTGTCAGAGTTCTTCGTATTGCCAGCGTACCACCGGTGGTAGATGCTAGAAGGAAAAGTAAGAATCGTGGAAGCTGGAATCGGTCAAACCTTCTTCGATTGCCATAACGTTAACGGCCATCGAGCTCGTTCCTGCGGGCTTGGGATCTTCCGTGAAGAGGATGAAATAAGAAAAGAGGCTCGTTGCTCGTGCAGTGGCAGCTGATTGCTTTATTGATCAACCAAAGAATCGATTCGTGATCGGTTAGGGTCGGCGACGCCGGCCGCGAAAGATAGAACGAATACTGTTAACGATCTACACCAGTGTTTCTTAATCATTTTAGATCTTTAGAGAAAGAACGTAAAGGTAACGAAAAAGCGAATATTTATAATACCAAGCCATGTTAATTTCGTTCCCCTCAAAAATGGAAAGTAACTAGCGCAGGCTTTCTCTTAGGATCCTTACAGTCATCGCGCACTGGTGACGTCCCTTGTGTAAAAATACCATGGCTAACCGTGAATTAACGATCGCGCTGCTTGAACGGAAAATTGAAAACGTAGATCCGTGCTCTTAGGTTTGCACTGCTCTAGGGGTCGAGAACCACCGATCTACGTGACCTGGACGTTACTACTGGCAAAAGATAAACGAAGCAAGGGCGGAACCGTAGTCGATTAAAAGCTCTGGGAGATCTTCGCGGTGTCGAGATCTTCCATGGAAGAAGTCCCAAAGGGGTCGCGTGACACGTCGATCACGTTGACTTTATACCCGTAGTGTTTCCTGCGCACGTGGGCACGGATGTTCGACGACTTCTTCGACGCGTAATTGCAATAAGGGCAGCCGAATCTCGGCAGTTGTCCGCACTCGAACTTCAGGTGGGAATAAAGATTGTTCTTCCGGTTGAACGTGCTCGTGCATTTCGGACAGGGAAATCTGCTCTTGTTACGGTGCTGGAACTCCACCGTGGTTCTTGGTAACGCGTTGCAAGGTATCTTGAAGCCGCCCAGGTGTTCCAGATCTGCAAGAAAATGTTTGGAGCTCGTCAGAGTCCGCGATCGAGTGACGAACGGCGGTTCGACTATATCCGATAAGTAAGGTCGATTAAGAAAAGGTCCGAGAGACGGACGGAAACGGTGTTAGTGATCTACGAACGTATATGGAAGCGAGAAGGATCGGGTCGAGAAACGGTGAAACGACTTGGACGACCGGTTAGCCTCTTTCGAGTGTTCTTCCTCGGGGATACACATGTAGCTTTTCGGGCGAAAGAAATGCAACTTTTATTTCGGTTCTGTACACAGTATTGGATAGAGCCTTCAAATTTCCGCGCTTTAAACATTAACGCAATGCGGTCCTGTCAAGAATTCTCGCGGGTCAAGGCTGCTCGGGGATGGATATCGTTCCTCCTCCTCTTCAAAGTCTCTATCAGCCTTTAAACAAAATAGTCAACTCTCGATGAAGTCGAAATTCTGTGTGTGCAAATGTACATGTATACAAAACCCTAGCTAAAACTACGAGATCTATCAGAAAAATAGTTTTACTTAGCAATTCGGTCCCCGACCAGCGAAAATCCTTGAAAAGGACCACGTGGACGCGACACGATGCAAACTTTCATTGGATCGTTACGCGCAGAGATCAACGAAACTTTGATACTCGACGGTTTCGGTTTGATCGGTGTCTTTTTTTTCTCAGAGGGTGGTCGATCCTGATCTAGAGTAACTAGATGCAACTCGCGTTAAGATCGATCACGTAAACGGCGCAGCCGAAGTGAACGGAGCGTACGTGCGCGCGGATGTTGGACGTTTTCTTCGAACGGTACCCGCAGTAAGGGCACTTAAACCTCGGCAACTGTCCGCACTCGTACTTCAGGTGCTTCTGCAGATTGTTCTTCCGGTTGAAGACGCTGCTGCAATTCGGACAGGGGAACCTGGCGTTCGGAACGTGTTGCATCGCGAACGACGTCGACGCGTCCCGTCCGGCCATTAGACGGTCGGAGAGAAACTGCTCGTCTGCAAGCATAAAGAAACGATTGCAAAATGCTAGCTGTGTGTGCGCTCGGTCCACCAACGAGTTTCTCTGTTTCCGATCCCCCCCAAAAGAAGAAACGAGACAACAATTGTACAATGTTAATGCAAGGTTGCGCTACGACTCTGTTACGTTAACCAACGAAGAGTTACAATATCAGGAGGGACTCTTCGTTCTCCTATTCATCGAGGTCGTATGCTCTATGGTCTCGTACAATCTTAGGCGCTGCAAGGATACGTACTCTTGAATTTTCTTTATTTGCGACGATAAAACACCAAAGGATTTCACTCGTAAATCGTTTCCTTTTTCCTTCTATTCCTAAAAACCTTTGAATCCCTTCAGGTCCCTCGGGATATTTTCCCCGCGAAGAAAGTCTGATGTTGGACGCGTTGCATTCGGATGGCAAGTAAGAATAACGACTAACGTATTATCTAAATAAACCTTTAATCGTGATAGCCATACAATTGTTTCGTTGCGACGAAATCTGTAACTGGAAAGTCACCACCGTCGAAGAAGCGAAGCGCCAACGATGCTACCGTGGAAACGCGATCACGTTAGACGGACGCATCCTCGGATAAAATTTTATTCGCGAAAAGGCGATTACTCGCAACAGAAAGCACCGATTATTCGGATAACAGATATATCTAGATAAATCACCCACTGGATTCTTGCTTGTAAACGTTTAAAAATAAACGTAACGCGGGTACTGCGAGCTGTTCAATATTCAATATTGGCTGAATAACATAAATTAACACCAAACCTAACGACGTTCATTTGTAACTATTTCTATCGTGATGGGACGAACGACTAGTCTTAAAGATACTTCCATGAAACAATTGTACATAATTTACATATAGCACGTAAGAACTGCACACGAAAATTTGAAAACTGTCATTTTACCGGTCGTGGTATGTTTAGTGTTAACGTGATGTAAACTGCAACTTTGGAATATCCATGTTGGTCGTAGGTGATGTTTCAAGATTCAATATCCGAAGACTGAATCTGTACGTTAATGAATATCGAATAAACTTCCAGCGAGGCCCGCGTCGCGTTTACCTTTCCGTCAAGATTATTATCTAGGTATAGATTTATTCGAATAGCGTTCGACTCTGGCTACCCAGGAGCGACCTATTGCGCGTAAC